ACATTCCACATTTAATGCATATTCTTGTATGGAATGATTGTTAAATGTTGTTTGTTGCTTATACAAACAACATATGCACCTAAGGTGGAGAGTAGTCTCTGTAGGGATTATTCTATGGGGCGTTGGCTCACCCTATACGGGAAAACATTTCAGGTGGGAGAGATACACCGGTGAATGGCTCCACTTTGGACTCTCATGTTTGAAGAAAGCCGAATGTGGCTTTATTTTGTGTTAATATAAAACATTTGTGGAAATAATGTTTTGGGCATGTAATCTTTTGCAAATAATTGTAATAGAACTTATATAGACTCTTATTAAACTAACCTTGCTTGTGTTGATATAAATATGGATAATTGGACCCGGTGTGTCCAATGTTTACTTATAATTGGACCCAGTGTGGTCATTGTTGAATATTGGACCTCAGATGGGTCTTGTTATTATATGATTGCACAGGTTGAGTTTTGGGTAGAGCTTCCCGTACAAAGGAGACTCTGCCCAAATTTCGTCAAAATTATGGTTTCCAGAAAATGAAGCATAATGACGTGATATCGAATTACTCGGTATCCACAGGTATTCCGTGTGTTGATGGGTAATCAACGGACCCCCAGATTTTGGGATGTCACAATTTTCCCACTTCTCGCATAAAAGTCGAGGGAGAGTGACACTCACCAACCTCTATAAGCCATATATATACATAATTCGGGGTCGAGTTGGAAGTTATAGAAAACCATCAAACATTTTTGGCACCGTTACTGGGGAATGCTAAGTGTCAAGTTTCGAAGGTGATTTGGGATGGCATATGTAAGTCTCATGATTTTCATCATGGGCCAAGGTATGTTGCCTCGATTGTAAATATTTTGTTGTAGTTTGTGTTTTATGCAATGTTTCATAATTTTTATGAAAATGTGTTAAATGCTCCAAAATTTGAAAATGTGTGCGAGATTTGTGATGAGTATGAACACATTACTAGTAAGTGTCCATTAAATTATATGGTTCAAGATTTTGCATGTGAAGGATCAATTTCAATATTGGCCCTCAAAAATTTTTATCCCGACCAATATATTGCAACAAGTTATCCAAGTTATGGTTGGGAGAACGAACCTTATAATTTTTCATTTGATTTCACACCACCAAATGAAATTTTCCACTATCCAACATATGAGGACTCAATCAACCAAGAATTGGAAAATACTCTTTGCGAGTTTATGCAATACCAAATGGAAATCAATGCCCAAGAAGCTCAACAATTTCCTAAAATTAGAGATGACCTTGTTGCATTGACTAATGTCATAATTGTTATATGTGAAGAACAATATCTTGAGCATAGTCAATGTATTGAGGATGATCATTTTTATGGAATGCAAATTGATGTTGAATCTCCCACCACTCTTGATTATGAAAATTTTAGTGAAGTTATTATCTCACATGAGGCTAATAAGCCCAAGGTCAATTTTTCATCAAAGAGTGGTGTTGAGGTTCACAATTTCCAACTTGGGGAGGGCATTGAATTGGAGTTAAGTGTAGAAATTTATAAAGAGAAATTGTATACTCCATTGTTGGAATTGCATAAACTTGTGTGCACCTCTATTTTATTCAGAATTTTTAATCATTATCTTTTGTTTTGTTGGATAGATTGGTTAGGAAATACATTTATACACCAAAACAATTCTAAAATCAAAAAAATCAATGGGCGCAAGCTCATATCCGAATTGAAGCCGGATTGACATGAATCTTGTTTATTTTATTTTGATGTACATAGTAGTTAGATTTCTTTTATTGTTACATTTGAGTTTTCATAATTTTGTAGTGTAGATTTTAGCATGAAGTTGTTTACCTTTTTCTAATTTAGACTCAATTCATTTTGAGCATCATCGTAACAAATCTTATTCAGTGTCATGTTCAGGTCTAAGTTGAGGTTTGTGAACAAGCTTCTCTGTGTTTCATTTTTCCTTTAATGTTTATATCACAAAAAAAGAGAGAGGGAGAAAAAAAAAGGGGGGGGGGTATCTAATTTTCCATGTTACTTTCGTTTTTCTTATTGCATGATTTTTTGTTCATTGAGAACAATGCATGGTTCAAGTTGGGGTTGAAGTGCACCATTTACATGTTTCACCACTTTTTTGTATAAAATAGTTGAAAATGTGAAATGTTTAAAAAAATTGAAAATTTTGAAATTTTTTGTGAAAAATATAAAATATTGAACTATATTCCCCTTTCCTAATTGCTATGGGATCTGTGATAGCTTGATCTTCACTTTGAACTTTGAATAAGAGCACACCGTAGAAGTTTATCCTATGCCTGAATATCACATATGTGTTTTCTTTCGAACTCAACCATAGTGCACCTTGAATGTGTAATTTTGGTAATTTATTGATTGGATCCACATTTTAGATCTTGACATACATAGTGGGGATGAAGTAAGCACCCATGTGAGCTTTGGTGTCAATCCTTGTTGGAGGGAACTTACATTTGAGAGCGAACTTTAAATGAAAAGAAAAGTTGATTTTGCTATCTATTGCACTAACATTCCATTCATGAGATTATGCCTAGGCCGTTTCAATTGATATGGATGCACACCATTTTTCTTATTATAAACCACACAAGATTCTATCTCACATATACACATAGAGAGCATGCTAGGATAATCATATAGTTATTCATTTTTGAGAGAAACCCTTGGAGAGAATTTTATCAATGTTGAATTTGGATAGCTAAATAAATTTAGATCCTATTGAGTAAAGGCTTAAATTACATATTCATTTCACACACACACGAGTTTCGCAAGGAAATTGTAGGTGGATAGTCTAGAATAACATTTAAGGCTATGAAGTGATTCATGTGTGATTAGTTCGGTGCATTGGACATTGTTTTTCACACACCAGGGCTAGTTATGGTAAGGGAATATATTTCAAATGTTGGATATGAGGAAAAGAGGTTTGTAGGTACCTTCACTGGAAAGCTTTACGAGAAAACTCATCCACTAGGTATCACCTAGGGATTTAAAGACTTGTTGCATGTGCTAAATGCAATAGTAGAATTAGTATATGTTTATTTTTGTTTGCCTAATTTTTATGTGTTTTTTGCCAAGGACTAGTAAAGCTTAAGTTGTGGGGGGGGGGGTGATGAGCGCATAATATTGCATATTTAACAACCTCATTACATGCATCTTGACTCAACTTTGCATTTAATTACTTAAAGTTAGTCGAATTTGTGAGTAATGTGAAAATTTTGATATTGCAGGTAATCATAGGGTAAATGATGGCTTTTCAAACCCAACAACTAAGTTTGTATGAGTGCTGAAGAGATGGATATATTACATGAGGATTTGGAGGCTTAAAAGTGAAAGAAATCAAGGATGTAGTGGTACCTGGTATCATAGGTACCAATACCTAGGCCTGTTGAAATATTGGTACCAGCATCCGGACCATTTTGTAGCAGTACCCTGGTATTTTACATTTTTGACCATGATCCACTTTGAATCTGAAAAAGTGAAAAACATGAAAGTTGGGGATCTAGATGTGCTCTATCTTGTGTAAACATTTTATCTCAATAGAATGGTGGGATCAAAAGTTATAAAAAATTTGCGAAAGATGGAAATGAGCTACCGGTAGCAAACCCCTTACGAGCTACCGGCAGGAGCTTAGGACCTACTAGTATAAGACCCTAACAGACATGAGCAACTAGTAGAAGCCTTACGAGCTATTGGTGGAAGATGCCTAGAAAGCCCAGATCGTTCTCCAAATGACTCCGCCAACTACAGGGGCCCACCTTTTGTCACGTATCCATGCTCTAATATTTCTAACACTCCATGATGATCTCCTATCCCCTATTTTTAGATTTTAAGTATGAGGGAGTGGGTGGACAATGTAGATAGAGGGATGGTTGGAAAAGAATGGGAGGGCCATGCTTTGACCAATTTTGCTTGCTTTTGTGGACAACCTCTCTCCAATCACTCCAAATTAGCCACCCATGCCAATAGAGAGGGGATGGATGAAAATAAAGATTTCTTACACACATTTTTAGATATCAAGCATTTTGAAAGAGTGGGAGGCTACCTAAGCTTAAGAGTAGTGTAGAGAGAGAACGCTAGGGTTTTTGCTTTTCCTTCACCATTTTCACTCTTATATGCTTCAATCTTCATATAATCTTTCTTTCTAATAGATTAATCTTGTTTAGTTCAAGCTGCATTGGGTTTAGCTAGGGTTTACTAGTTCTATTTCTTTTATTTGGGTATTTTCTCTTTAAGTTTTACATTTTGCGTATGAATGCTATTTCTTTTGTAGTTTAAACTTCTCTTTACATTAATCCAAGTTCATGTTTAATTTCATTACCATGTTTGTTCTTGCCTTTACCATGCATAGCTAAACCTTTAGTTGGCTAATCTAAGTGGGATTTCCTCTTGGGTATGTGAAACCGACTCTATTTCATTCTTTCTTGTAGTGTAAACTATTTGGTTTGACTAGGTTGAGTGCAGACGTAGTTGTGTGCTTTTGATACACCATAGACTTGTCATAGGATATGCTTTTGCCCAACATAACTTTATTTGTCCCTCACTTCCTACAAATAAATCTAACATTGAGACATCATTGGTTGAATGAAATGAGTTGATTTGGCATACCCATTAGAATGAACTCTATGGATTAGCCAACCCTCTTTTTACTTGCATATTTCTTAAAACACAAATCACCAAACTTCAAATCACAATATTTTTCATTTTGCCCTTTCTCAAATCACTTTAAAAAATACTTGACCTTTCCTTCCCAGAGAATTGACCTTGAAATACTCATTTCAAGTAAAGCATGACATTGTGAGTCTCTCTACGCTTGGGGAACACTTTTGTACTCACACATTTTTGTTCATCCACACATAAATTTCCCCACTTCTAACATTGAACTCGAGGGAGAGTGACACTCACCAACCTCTATAAGCCATATATACACATAATTCGGGGTTGAGTTGGAAGTTAGGGAAAACCATCAAGTAGCAACCACAGAGATCACAAGAGGATCACCAATTGGAGTGTGGACTCCCTTGAGATCTTCATCAGTGAATGTGATGGGAGAATTTTGTGGGACACATTTCTGGGCTAAAACAAGGCAAATTTTTTCCTCCTCTACCCGAGCTCTCCAAGCATAATCTTTCCTCACCAAGCTATTTTTTCCTCCTGAAGAAAATCCCCTAGAAATCACCTTGATTTCCCCCATTGGTTGTTGATGTTCTTGAGGCTCTGAAGGGGATGTTTCTTCTTGGCGGTTACTTTCTACAAATCTTCCAAGATGGCACCTCTAGATCATGTCCTCAATATAATCTCAAAAAATGAAGGACTCTTTAGCATCATCTTGTGGTCACAGAGAAAATGATAGTAGTCATCTCTGTCTCGTTTGTTAGGAGGTGTTATGAGCTTTCTAGGACACTTTAGGAGGTTGTCATTTTGCACTTGAAAGAGAAATTGTTCAATTGTAGCATTCAGAAGAGTGTACACTTGAGCCTATGTTGCGGGAAAACGGGGGCCTAACCTGCCCTAGCTGGGACATGATCAAAATCCCTTCTTTGAAGTATTCACTTTGTCTGACTTTTCTTGGATCTTTCTCTTCTTCTTAGCGGTTGAGCCTTCCACAACTTTTTTGGGTTGACCGCATCCTCTGCATTCATATGGATGTGAGCTCTAGAAAAGAGCTCCACCATAGTTTTGAGGAATGTTTGTGCATAGACAAATATAACCTAGAGGACCTAAGTCCACTTATGAAGGTCGTCAAAGCCATACTGTCATCGACATCACCTTTCTGGAAGGTCTCTTCCACAAACCTTGCTACATACTACTTGAGAGTCTCTTCTTTTGTCGGCTTCATATTAAGGAGAGAAGTGACAGGTTTTTTGGGAGTCCTTTCTCCAATGAAATGGGAAAGAAGGATTTACTAAGCTCCAAGAAGGATCCAATAGACCAAGTAGGGAGCCTATTCAACCAGAGACGAACTGTTCCCATCAATATGGTAGGAAATCTATGCACATAATGGCATCAGAGACGTTGTGTAATAACATGAGAGATTTGTAGGTCTCCAAATGATCCAAAAGATCTTTCTTACCATCGAAAGTCTTGATGGTTGACATCTTGAACTTGGCTGGGAGAGGCTAGGTGGTGACATCCTGAGAGTAGGGTGGCTTGAGTCTCTGAACTAGTGTTTCCATTATTTTTGGAGCTTGAGCCTTTCCGGTGTTCAACATATCTCCAGTTCGATTGTTCACCTCTTTGAACGTATGGTTAAAAAAGGTGTCTTCTTCCTGATGTTGCAGAGAATAACTTTGGCTACACTCATCCGCCAAGTTTGGTTCATCACTAGGGTTAACCTCTTCAGAGTGAAGATCCTGATTTCCTTATTGATTTTGAGGACAACCAAGACCTTGCAAAAGTTATCAAATTTTCTGGCTTTGTTGGGCCATGCCTTCAATGGCTTGGTTCATCTGACCTACATTCCTTTTGAGGTCGAAAATCTATTGGGTCTCCAGACGCTTATTGAGGCGGGGAGGGTCCTGATCCTAGATTTCAACCCCAACGTTTACTGATTAGGATGTTCTTTGGTAGGGTTGTCTTGATTGGCATTCATGGCTCTGGTTAACATCATCTACCGGTATACAACAAAATTGAGGAACAAGTTTGGTGGTCAAGTCGTTTCCCACAGATGGTACCAAACTGTTGGAGTATAAAATGTGTTAAACTGTTTTGAAAGTTGTTGAGGCTGATCTAGGCATGGCTATACCTTTTTTGAAGCTCTGGGTGAGGTTTGATCACTCGGATAAGGCTTGTCGAGGGCATGATCTTATCCTTATCCCTTGGCTGCCTTATCTTCCCCATAGTGTTTAAACAAAAGCGCCATTTGAACTATTCTTTGGCAGATAAGGTTCCAAAAAATTTGGGATAAACTTTGCCATCCTTCTAGTTTTCACCGGGTTGGGGAAAGTTGATTATCTGAGCTCATTACTCTTCCACCTTTCTTTTCTTGCTAATAGGTCAAGCTTCAATTACATTTCTAAAGATGGTGTTAACTAGGACCTTTCCTTTAGTTGAGATTTGGGCGCGAATTAGTCCAAGATATTTCAGTTAGGAATGGAGATTTGGGCGCGAACTAGTCAAAGATATTTCTCAGTAATGCTGCCTCACACCCCTTTTGCATAGAATTCAAGTGCAACAAAGGCTTCTCCTAAAGGATCCTCTTTGAAGAACTTGATTTCCTCATTGGCAGGATCTACTTCTTGAACCATAGGAAGTACGAGGTTAGATGACACCTTTTTAGAAGCCATGGGAGTAGGTAGTTGTGAAGAGCGTAGAATGAAGAAGGAGAAGGTTGGGTCAAAGAGTGAAAAAAAAAAAGTTGAAGCAAGAATTATCAAGGTTACATGAAGCGTAACAGATTGGAAATTCAAGAAGAAACCCAAATTCCTTAAAAAAGATCTTTGATAAAGGAAGAAAAATCTGTAGTAAAAAATTTGAAAATGAACAACCCAACCAAGATGTTCCAAATTGCGTTCAATATTTTCAAAGATAAAGAAGGGAGTCAAAATCACAAGAAGTAGAAGTCTCAAGAACTTTCAAGTGAAAGTAAGTCCTTGAACCAGATCTTTGGATGGTGTAAATAACCTAGGCAATGGCAATTACAAGAAACTATCTGCTTTAAATCGAAGGGATGTATACACGTAATTAGTTTCCCAAAAATTGAGGAAGTAATGGACAAAAAGCAACAGGAGGCATGGTCCCCGATCTAGCCATGTTGGAACCTGATTAGGGGCAACTAATGAAGAAAAAAATTAACTGCAACATTAGGAAAGCTCTAGAGACGGCCCAACACTAAAAAGTTACTGTTGGAAGACTTACTAAGCTCTAGGCTCACAGGGAAAGCTTGGAGTAATGCCAATCCTAGTAATCAAGTCTCCCCACCAAGCTGGCACATGAAAGGGGTCTTGTGGATTAGATTATATATTGCTTGACAGTTAAAAGACTCCCAAAACAAGGTCAACAATTCATTTGGAGTAAAAATATTTTAAAGGGTGGACACCCCTCATTCCAGAGGAATCTCCGCCCCTTAGAAGAGCAAACTCTAACCGCTAGGAATCTCCGCCCCTTAGAAGAGCAGACTCTCCCAAAAGGAGGAGTCCTTCTCGCCATTTAGAAGAGCAAACTCTAACCGCTAGGGGAGTCTTGCAAGGATAGGGAAAGCTAGATTCCCCAACTACGAGGAGCTTGAATCTTCCTAGAATAAACTGAGGAGCCTATTGCTTGCTCTCTATAGTGGGTTAAATATAAATGGTTTCCCAAGTGCAGGAAGTGTATCATTTTGTAATTTGGTCGATTACCGAGGTCGTCTTCTCAGGGAAAATGAAGGTTAAATTCGATCAATGATAGACAAAGAAAAATAAAACTCTTACATTTCAAAAAAGGGTTTTTGAAAACAGGTGAACTAAATAACAATAATTGAATAAAATCGATTATTGTCAAAGTTCATCCCTTTGTGAATAGTAATTTTGAACTAATCCTATAACTCACTCAAGATTATAATCAAATGCACTCAAGTGAAAAATATTCAACGAAAACCAATGAAAGTGATAAATGTGTATTCAAATTGATTGACTTAATGTTGAAAGAATTATGTTCACATTGATTGCAGTGATTCCAAGAATTAACGATGCCAAACTTAATTGTTTATGGATAAGCAAGAAGATATACTTATCACTCGTGTTTTTCAACTTTAATTAATTAATCAACAAAATAACTTAATCTTTAGAAAAAACCCTAGTTAGTTCAAAATTCCCATTTATGGATGAGATTCCTTGATCCTATCTAATCGAAAAATAACTACTCACTCATCACGGAAGTAAATACAAAAGTAATTGAAATAAAAATCAACATAATTGAAAGGAAAATAGAACTTGAATTGAAATCACAATAGGAAGTAAATACCTGAATTAAATGCAAAGAATCGTAAATCGTTACATAAAAGAGAACCAACATACTCACCTTGCAAGAAATTAAAAAACTAAAAGTAGAACAAAGCTTGAAATAGGAAGCAATGAAAGAACTCTTGCAGAAAGAGTAAACCCTAATTCTACCTAGGAGAAATGGCTAAAGGAAAAATAGAATAATGAACGATTGATCAACACCCCCTCTCTCCTGCTTAGTCTTAGTATTTATAGGAGACATTAGCTGATTTTTTCTTTTATTTTTCCACAGATAGGTTACTTAGAAAGCTCCCATCCATTCCCTTCCAAGAAGAGTTCTTGCTAAATTAAAACATTGATGAACAAGTAGGAAGCACAATTCGACCTACCAGTAGCAAATTTACTGTTCATCATGTACTGGTAGCTCTTCATAGCTACTGATATAACTGCTCTCTATTTGAACCTACTGGTACCAAAGAATTAACATAACAATAGAAAATTTTATGTTTTACTTTTATTGGTAGGAATTCACTGCTATTGGTAGAACCACAATCTGTCGCCTGATGAACCGGCAAGAAACCTACTGGTACAAATATTTTTTTTTTTGAATTCTTGTTGTAATGCTCTTGGCTCAACTCATTGCTCCTCTAACTCCTTGCCAAAGTCTTCCAAAACATCAAAATGTATATAAAATCTTGTTCTTACATTAATTTACCAGTAAACACAAATATTCTCTATAAAATACAAAACTAAATTAAAATAAAGCAAATAGATAACTAATAGTGTTAAGATGAATGATATGAGACAAAAAATATACAATATTATGCTCTCATCACACCCCGCAACTTAGGCATTACTAGTCCCTTAGCAAACTTAAAAAAAAAAAGAAATAAAAATCCTAAAATTACACTTATAAATTCCAAAGCATAGTCTATAACATAACAAGCATTATAAATTGAAATGCATATGATCTAAAAAGTTAAGGAACGTATTTGGAATAAAAAAGACTTACCATATATATATACATATATATATGTTATGCTTTTGCATACAAAAACCAAACTATAATAGTCTTACTAAACTTAAGGTTCTTATAATAGGCTATTACTACCCAAAAAGAAACAACCTAAGGTACTAAGACCTAAATACTACCTAAACACAACAAAAATTAAAATAAAAACATAAAATTATGCTATTACCAAAAAGAAACAACCTAAAGGTTCTTATACTAGGCTATTACTACCCAATAAAATCTTGTTCTTATTGACATCGTCCT